CCCCTTTTTGCGAGCCACCTAACAAAAATGTCCTCTCTATCAGTTTGGCTTATATTCAGAATTTAAGGGTTAATGTGACAATTTAATTTTAAACATGTTAAAAATAACTTCTTGTATTTGATAAGAATATATTTTATGATCATTAGATGTCTGAAAATTGTTTTCTCAAGATTCGCTCTTCAAATAGTCATTTTCTTCAAACTCGATTCAAAAAGAGGAGTTGTGTTTTACTCAGGGTCTTTGCATATATATCAATCCAGAAGATAAAAAGCAGCTGTAATATTTCCCTTTATCTCTAAATGACTCTTTATTTTCTCCACTTACAGAGTGGTTGCTGTTTTACCAGGGATTACACATAATCGTTCTGTCAAGGATCTTGTGAGGTAATGAAGAAATGTCCTCACAAGATACTTATACAACACTACTGTTAGAATCCGCAGCAAAATAAATAGGCTCACGATTACCATTTAGATTGTGGTGGCTGGCCTGCGGGCTCGATACATGTACAAATAAGTAATTGAATTTGCACTTTTTGCTGTATAGGAGTGCGGGAACAGCTATACCTCCTTCTTCCACTCTGCATCAGCTTGTTGTCATGTTTCTGAGGCCATCACTTGAGTCCTACAGGCGGAATAAATAATGATAAAAAAGTGGATGTTTGGACCAAAGAGGCACTCATATCTCATCTTCATGCCTGTTTGCAGATTTTTCACTTTTAAATGAAGAGGGTTTTTCGAATAAATGGACCACTAAGGGCGTATAGTCATCCAAAGCAGCTCTTCTAATGTCTTCTAATTGGTGCTGTGTACAGTATGAAAAACCCTCCTTTATGTGTTATTGTATTAGACTAAATGACCTCTCAGATCAAGAGCACTGCGCGCAGACTGGCTCTCCGTTCAGACATCGCAATGTTGTTTCAATTTAGAGTCTCTCAGCTAACATGCAATGATTTGCTTTCCCTCCCTCGGGTCATCTTTGGAGAGTCTTGTTTACAGGGATTATACAAGGTTGAGTTTCCAAATAGCGTCTAAATGACATTGAAAGCAGTCACTGTGCAACCGAGTGAATCCGTGCCTTGTTGTGACCTGCCAGGTGACCCAGCCTTTCTGTCCCTGTAAGCAAAAAATCACAGCAAGTGAGCTGACACTGCACCTTCAAAAGCTGGGAAAAAAAAACACACTCTTCAACACAAAAATCTCCCCTTTACACCACGTCCTGTGTTAGTCTGTGCTCCCTCTGTGTCATATGCTGCACCATTAATAGAGCTCCCCTGTGTAAATGTTTACAGTGCAACCCATTCATCACAGCCTCCTCACAGTCTAATAAAAATGCCCTTTAAGGCCTTCTGTTCAGTCTGGATTTTAAAAGTGCTTTTGATTTTGGTTCGTCTGCCCTCTGGTTTCTCTGGAGTCTCTCTTGTCTCCATTGGGATTGAGATCTCTTTGGACTATGAGTTCAGAAGGCAAATGCTTAGGGAGTGCTGGAAACATAATAAAGTTAGTGAGGTGAAATCTCCGAGCTGGATTTAAGATGAAAAAAAAAAACAAAAAAAAAAAACAGGGTCTTTTGGTCACAGGCTTCTCTCAGTTTGCCACTGGGCTGAAAGTAAACTGACAGAGGAGAGAAACTTTGACGGCTGAATTTAGATACACAGAGATCATCACAGAAGTCATTATACATTAAAGCCCAGTACGCCTACATTTTCTATTGAGCGTGCAATGTAAAAACTGAGATTTATTCAGCAGTCTCTGGAGTAGAGGACACGTGATCATCACAATGTGTGGAAAGTCTTAAGGTTTACATTGCTGTAAGTATAAACTGCAGAATTAGGACATGGTCAATGATACACTCTACAACCATTGTGCAGTCTGAGATGAACTAGAAGGTCCTTCTTTGGGATTTCAGTCCCCAATAAGAACTTGCTCAAGATGCATTATCTCTTACATAAATACCTGATCTGATTCTTTAACTACCACGGTCAAGAGGTAGTGGTTAATCAATCAATGTAAAGCGCCAATTCACAACAAGTGTTATCCCAAGATGCTTAACAAGATGGTCTTAACTGTGGTAATCAGACGTCCCTGTTTTGGATGATCTGACTCTGGCTAAAGCTGCCCCTGGAGATGTCGCCGAATTTAGTGTTGCATGTTGACAAGAACAACGCTTATTACGGTAGCCAGGTAGGTAGGAAGTGCAAGTAAAAATGTTGTGCACAGATCTGAATAACAGTTATTACAGTAGACAGGTAGGTAGGCAGCGCAAGTAAGCATGTTGTGCACATATTTGAAGAACAGTTATTACGGTAGCCAGGTAGGTAGGAAGCGCAAGTGAGCACGTTGCACAGACCTGAAACAACGGTTATTACAATAGCCAGGTAGGTAGGCAGCGCAAGTAAGCATGTTGTGCACAGACCCGAGGGTTATTACGGTTATTACAATAGCTGGTCACATAGAGTGCCTCTAAACATGAATAGCAGAGCATATTTGTCCCCACTGACATGAATTGATGGTGTATGCATGAGTGCAGATGGCACCAGGTACAGGGGAGATATGACCTTCTCAGATTCACAGTGACCCTGATTCGTCCCTCCCACTGGCCCTACATGAGGCGACATACATCACCTGTAATATAGAGGATTAATGATCTGTTAAATGTTCATTTTCTTGATAACATTTAGTTCTTTTTTTCACCTCTGAGCTGGATATGTCCCTAGATTTCATTTCAGGTATCTGGCCACCTTAGTCTAGACCACGCTCTGCAAAAAACTCAATGTAAGATGGGATAAGATTGAGCCCCATCTTCAACCACATGAGTGTCACAATTAGCAGCATTTAGTTACAGTGGAGAGGATAAACTTCACCATTAACAGGCAGAAATCTTGAGCAGAACCAGACTCATGTTAGACAGTCATCTGCCACTAGAGAGGGGATAAATGGACAGAGATGTAACTGATGCACATAGTTGAAGGTCCACTTGGACCATTTATTGCAGAAGTTTCAAGGCTTATGGTTTGACTTCACTGATATGGGAAATCTACATAATATGCTATATTCTTCTGGATTGGCAGTTTGAGTATGACAGGTGTCTGATATAAAGATCATCTTGAAACAAATTACAACTGACACCCAATTTGCTAAATCACTGCAAAGTAGAATTGACATTTTAACCAATCATCAAGACTAAAATAGACAGCGACAACCTCAGAGAAAAAAAAATAACGTTTTAAATCTTTACAGAATAAAACCTTTTTCAAAGGCCTAAACAGCAAAGCTTCTCTCGTATCCACAGGCAGGCTGAGCCGACTTGCACATATTTTTAAGTTTATTATATTATTCATAATGCTTTTATGTTTCTTTTGATTGGATTCCCGTAACAGTGGGTGCTCCGCTGCCCACACGCTTATTACTCATTATTCTCCCTTTATTTTTGTCGCTTCTGCAGCAAAAACATGAAGACGTAATCCTTATTTGTGTAAACCTTATTAGCAATGACCCTGAATGAATGGGTGAAGGAGTGAGGACAGCAGCCGGGTATTTCTTAGACCCAACTTTGATGCACGAGACCTGAGTTTGCTGTCTGTCTTGTCTATTTTTATCTGGAGTTATCGAATCTTTCCGAGTGGCAGTGATGACTTATTTTGCTAACTTTTTGTTTAGAGGAACTATTAATAGTTTTTCAAGCTTGTTGCATCCATCTTCTCTTCTATCCATTAATTTAATCTGTCGATCTACACATGCAAATTGTCTCTAAATACAGCCGTAGCATGTATCTCTCCTCCCTTATGGCATCCTGAGCCTTTATTTCCATATCCATGTGCTGTTATAATCCCTGTAATGCACAGAGAGGGTAATGAAGCATCTGTTCATTTGCCTTGGGGTCACATATAAGCACATCGCTGCCATGCCATAAACATGAGCTGCCTTCACCTCTTCTTATCACAGTGCAGCGCTGTGGGTGTTCCACATCTGGTGAGGAAGACATGGAGTGACTCCAAGAAACACAAATGACTCAGAGAAGATGGAAATGTTTCAAATCAAATGCCTCACACCCTGTAGAGTGAAGGAAATAGTCTCAAGTGTCAATATTAAAAATATGCTCTATAAAGCAGCAGTTTTATTCAAAGGCAGGATATTTTGATTCTGACTCTTTTAGAGATACAAATCTTTCAGCCGGTTCTGACTTGAAGATAGAAATATAATTATGGGATCGGCATCGGCTCTTGAATGACAAAGAGATGGATTAGAACAAACAGAGGCTCCCCGTCGATAATCCCATGAGAAAATGGGACTCGCTGGACCGTGAACGGGTTTCCAAATCAAACGTAATGGAACAAGGGGCACGAGTTCAGGAGGGAGGTGAGGAATACAGGAGCAGGATGGGATTTTCTGCTCATCTCATGTCATATATCAAAGGCTGAAGGGGTCAAAGCTTTAATTAGGTATAACACACATGTATAGGATGTTTACAAGCCGTGTTTCAAAGGAGGATCAGGATTTCTATGCCGAAGAAACACAGATTTTGAGGTCAAGAAAACGACCTCAGAGTGAAATTTCTCTGATTTAAACGACCTCATCATTCAAGCTGACTCCATTAATCTGTGACTGCCAAGGCTTTATGTTACTCTTGATGGTCTCATCACTTTGATCTCATTAGAGCCGGTGTGATCAACCGCTGCATTAAACAATGACCCAGGCCTTTAATTCTGATCTGTTTCACAAATTCACCTAAATTAACTGCATTTCCTGCACCTAAGAGGACGAATATCATCAAGTGAGAGACTCCTTTAGGAGACAAAATAACAGTCATGATTGGTGTAAAATTTATGGATCCAATTTGGATACCTATCTTAGCACGCAGAATAAATAAACATGTCATGTCGGTCAAGTTCCTCTTCTATTTTTCAGTACACTTATGTTAGTTAAGTTTCCTTTATTTCTGCGCATTCATGTTTTGTTTCATGTCTTGCATAACCCTTGTTTATGTCCTCAAGATTTGTTCCTGTCTGGTCTGCCCTGCCCCCGTCTTGTCACACCTGCCACCTGGTTGTGTCTCCCCACCTGTTTCCCATCACCCTTATTACCAATGGTGTCTTTGTGATAGGGGCCGGCAGAGAGCACTGCTGTGCAGGAGAGGATTAGAAGCTTTTTAAATTAAAGGGATATTCCAGCGTAAAATTAATTTAGGGTCAAACACACCGTAACACCGAGTTAGACACCCCCTCGAGAGATGAATGTTGCCGACAGCTTGCTTCTCTAGTTAGACCAACTTAAGTAACGACCGCAAGATAGCAATACACAGCAGGCTGAGGAGCCATCAACAAACCTCAACCAAAACGCCACTCTATAGCCACAAATAATGCTCAGATCAGCACCTAACTTCATCAACAGTACAAATAGGGTCTCAGCCACAGCACTAGCCACAAACCAGCCTATTAACTTTGCCTGGTTTCTTTAGCAAAGAGACTAAAAACAACTCACCTACTCTCTTCCAGCAGCCGCTTGTTTGTAGCGAGACCTCGGGCGAGTCCATTATGGATTGCTGCAGGGTGACGCAGCTCAAGGAAGACCATCGGAATGTCCCTTTAAGTTTTCCTGTGTCAAAAACATTGTTGAGCATAAGTTAATGAAAAATTAAACTTAGTCCACACTGAGATGTCTGCAGTTTTCATCTGATGAACGCAATTTCACTACTTTTTGTTGTGCCGTTATGTGCGAATAGTTCATTGTGCCTCTGTTTCGGCTCAGTCTGCTTGTCTGTATGCTTTGCAGATGCATATGAAGACCCTTAAATGAAACCTGTGCAACCAATGCCAGCATTCACAAGTTACAGTTCAATATTCTGTTAATTAATTAATAATTAATAATTTGCACGCCGGTTTGCATCAAATTTAATCACATTTAATCCCACACAAATCTTTCTTAAATCAGATTAAAAACATCAAGGTTTGAATCAGATTGACTTGTGGTGAAAGATGCACACCTCTTGCCATCACCAAAACCTTAGTGAAATAATGAAAAACTGGCCAATTATGGCAGAAACACTGTTTCAGATTGGATTCCACTGGATAACATCAGGTGCTGTTGGAAGAACATCTCTACTCTGCATGTGGTGTATGAACTGCATGTCAATGAAAGCAGCACGTGTTAAGTGGGTGAAATAAAACCATCATGAACCCCCACTGCACCAGTTTGAGTTTCCTTTGTTTTGTTTTTTGGCCTGGAGGCTCCGAACTGATCATGAAAATGTTCAGAGAGGATTATTAACTCAGGATTTTAAATTGTTCAATTTCTTAACAAATGAAGCATCAGGCACTGTGACCATTAATCTTTAATTACTCTAATTGTAGTAACTCGACTTAAAACCACATGTATCAGCTGATCTAAAAATCTGGTTTTAACAGCAGTAATTTAGTCATGACCTGAAGTAGATGGTTGCTAAAAATTCATTCATTCATTATATATATACTTTTATATGACCGGTCTGTTGTACTCATTGTAATGATTTTATTCCTCCACACGCCCACTGTGCAGCCTTCTGGTCACACTCAGTATGTGCACATTGTTAAAAATAATAAATTTGCATTAGTACGTCTAAAACGCGGTTTTTAAAATTCCTGTTAATACATTTATCAGGGCAGGAGGAGCAGTTTTGTTAGATTTCACAGCAGCTTTTGATATCATTGATCATAAAATATTAATAAGAGAGTTGGGATGTTATGGTTTCTAAAAATCAGCAATATTATGGTTTAAAAGCTACTTAAAGAATAGGAAACAACAGGTTTATTTCAATGGCAGCTACACTAGCCTCTTGCCAACATATTCATCGATTGTTCGCCCAACTGGGGGCTAGCTCTGTAATTATGAGCTCCAGACGAACATATTGCCACCGAATGTAGGGGAGGTGGACTTTGTCGGTTCTCACTTCGGGCTTCTAGACTCAGACTAGACAGCAGTCCGCCTAAATTGCCTATTCAAGTTTTAACTGTGGCTCGACTCGGCTGCATGTGAACATACAGACTGTTATCAGCATGACTAAGCAAGTCATACTGGGAATGCATAAACTTACCTGGTCCCTCACTGGTGAACACACCACTTATTTGGTTTAGATCTTGTATGATTGATTCATCAATTTATGCATTTTTATTGATGAAGTTTATTTTTTACAAATCATGTAAACTATAGCAACAAAAATGGTCTCACTCCGCTCTACCCTTCCCTTCTTTCTATATCATCTTGTAATAACACTGTCACGTGTCCATCGAGAAGCAGTGGGTAGACTGTTGCTATGTGCGTCACACGGGGTGTAATGGCGTCATATGTTTCAGGACACAATGGCAACCGGCCGAACACAATATACATGCATTAGCTCTATCAGCTTTAAGTGATGTGAGCATTCAGAGAGGTCTATTCACTCATTCTAGCTGTACACAATGACTGCTCTTAGCAGGCCAAATAGACCCTCAGGCTGCCTGGAAATGCCCAGGTGCTCCTGAAGTAAGGTCAGCTCCTGTCCACCACCCTCCTAATTTTAGCCTCATCTGCAAATGTCCCTGGAGTATAAGTGATGGAAATACTTTGTAATGGTGTTAAAAGAACTGACAAAAGAAGAAACAACAAAGGGAGGTAAAGGACATTTATATACCCTAATGCTATAATTTGTATGTGGGGACTTTGGTTTTTAGAGATTAATTGAATGGTTTAATTTCCAAAGCTAAGAAATGTCCCATTTGATTATGAAAAACTGCAATGTCACCGTGCTTTAAACCCGACCTTTTTTGTTTATTTTTTTCCTGCAGAAGTTCCAAATACAGACTTTTTCTTTTGACAGCACCACTGGGAAGGTTTGTCATTCTGTCAACATTTTTTGCATCATTTAGGCTGATGCTGTCTTTTGACAACGGCATAATCCTCGGGGAAATTTCCCAGCATATGGCATTGGGAACCCCAACACAAAAATCAACAAAAAACGCAACAGCACAAGGACGAAGCAAAACCAAACACAAAATCATGTTTTTTATCTGAATAGATCTGAAAACATCTTCAATCCTTTTACCTGAAACTGTGTTGATGTACTAAAAACACCTTTATGTTCCTGTAGCGTGTCTATTTTTTGTCAGACTGAAGCCCGTGGCACAGCACTTATGTTTAAGTGTAACTGTGAGAGACTCTTGCCTCATCCTAATGCCTCTGTGAATCTCATCACAGGCGGAGGCAGAAATCCTGAATGAGCTGCCTCTTCTTGGTGATGTCAGGCAGAGGCGTGACCTTCCATTATTAGTCTATTGTCGCTGGCTTTTTCACTCAATGTGTCACACATACTCTCCTTCCCAATTCTCCACAGTCACAGCGTGTCCCGCCAGGCTTTACTTTGCCCTTCGTGTCTTAAACAGGGTTAGGGTTAGAACTGGCTATTATGCGCCTCATAATTGCACTTCGTCATGCAGCAGATTGGCCCAGTAGGGAGAGCTGCAGCGAGAGACGCTCTTATTTGAAGGGGATATACCAGAGGAATAATACCCAGTCATAGCAAATCCATATTTCTGTCCCCAAAGTGGCGTGTTATGCATGTGTGCTCCACAGCTATAAATTGCATATGCTAGCAGGTGCAAATAGGGGCAGGGTGGTCTCTAGAGGGTTATAATTGGCCAGAGAGCTCATTAGGCTTAGCTTGGATTGCCTGATGGTGATCGTTGAAGAATGTGGCGCTTTAGGCAAAAGGAAGTGATGGGACACACCGATTTGACCTCCTTTCAGCAGCGCGCACAGGTCACAGCACACGTCAAGCTTCACAGGGAGTGCAGGTTTGCTGACAGGGAAAAAGCCGAGGTTTACCTGTACTTCACCTCATGTTATGATCCCTGGTATAGTTTTAAAACACCTGATGACTCAACGGCTTTTGTTTTTTTTTGGCTTGGAATTTATTTGACAGCAAAGTGAATTTATGTGGAAAATATAGCAAACAGTAGAGACAAGCACCAGAGGGCTGATGTTTGCTGCTGAATGCTTTATATGAGGTTTGTGCTCTAACCACTTGGATAAACTGGCACCAATATTGCAACTAGGTGCAAGTATTTCCTAGTTGTTTAAATAAAGTGTTGAATTAACACTTTATTGATCAAGTTATCTAAACCCTCCTCCTGTGTTAGGGTCTGCACTGACCTGTTTTTGATTTTAAATGCTTTAAAGAATCACTTACATTTGCTTTTTTGCATCAAGACTTTTTGACTTTGTCGGGAACCTCTATTCCAACAAAATAAAAATAATTGACCAAATTATAAAATGCTCTTATGGCACTTGTCGTGTTAGGGTCGCTATAGACCTGGTTAGATCAATATCTAATAGTTAGAGCAAAAACAGTCAGATCCTCTTCCAATCATGTGAGATTTAGGAAATTCTCGTTTGGCCATGTTTTTCCCTGCACAAAAAACTACATCGGGCATTTCCAGAGATCAATTCATTATAGATGTCTGTGTGAGGGTAAACTGACAAAGAAAGGCCCAGAGACACAACAAAAAATACTGTAAGCAATATTTTCATGGATAATGAAGCCTAACAAGGTAACCTAGAGATGAGAACCAAATTGGATGATAGAGAACTGTTTTTGGTGTGATTTACAGCTGATTTAAGACACGAGTCAAAACTGACTCTTAACATGGTGGGTGCATTGTAAAAGCTAACACAGGGGGAAGGTTAAAGTAAGAAAATGCTAAGAAAACGGGATCACAGAGTCTGCAGATCAACAATGTCAGATTGGTTTGCAGAGTCTGGCTGAGGTTTGCAGAGCGAGCAGCTGGTGAGCAGTGACCAGCCTTTGGTCCTTCTTGCAGATTAAAGTGTCTGTGCTTTGCATCGCTCCAATCAACAAGTTGCATGCCAGATATGGCCTAAATACAATTTTAATACAACATACTAAACCCTTCATAATATTCAAAGATCATTTCCATACATACTAAGAGTATAACATGGCTTCATTGAACTCTAAATTCTTATTTGTAAATTATTCTACCGTCTATTATAACTGCTCTAGAGATGCTGCTCCATTTCAGTTTGAACCCATGACTATATTTTACCATATCAATCTGCACACAGGGGTTTGGTATATATGTAAAGTCAGCCTGTTCATACCACCTCATACCAATAAATTCTATAGACTTTCAAGCATTCATACTAAATCTCATGCCTTTGTTTGTATATCTAATTAATGTTTCCCGTGTCCTTCCCCAGCACAAATCCTGCATGTCAGGTTGAATGGAGTCTGAACTGCCCTTGGGTTTGAAGTACTGTCTGTCTCTATTAGCACTGTTATGAACTGGCGGACAGTCCATGCTTTTCTCCTGTCTGCCTTGCATGTTATTTTTGGATATCTGAGTCACATCCCAGAAGGGCTCGAGCAGGTAAGAGGAAAAATGTTTGTTTCTGTGGCGAGGGAGGTCTGAATTATTATTCATGATCAACCTCGACTAAACTTGCAGACTCTGTTCCGCGAGTGTTTTCAACATCATTGAAGAGACGTTACCAAACCTAGAGTGCAAGTTGAGCTTCAATTTGCCAGTGTTTAAATACAAAGAAGAGTCCAAGTTTATCTTTGTCTGAGTCTGGGTTGGATTAGACTACGGCTACTAATTCAGCCATGCTTAAAACTAAAGAAATAATTCTGGCCTTACGCTATACGCTAACAGATAATCAGTCTTTATCATTAAATGCATTGTTGCAATGCATCATAGATGTTTTCAGTTCTTGTGTCTCAGTCCAAGTTGAGTCACATGACCTGAAAATCACAACACAAGTTGGACTCAGTTTGAGTCAGCGACTCATTACAACACCAGCTACTGCAGTGTATGTTTCAGCTACTTTGACACTCTATCACACCAGACCGAGTGGTTATAAGACCAGATATCTATTAATATTAAAAAGCAGGAACAAAAGGCATTCACATCCCTGATACTGTAATGCTAATTTTGGACTTGAGGCAATGCCATGGGCTGCGGCTTGCAAATATCACCTGTGAGCGTCTCTGCTTCTGCGTCTCAACAAGTTTCCTGTCCATCTGAATACATCTTGTTGGTTTTTCAAAATTAATTTCTGCAGCAGAAGGTGTTTAAGCATGTTAACCAACAGAGCACAAGACTGTCATGAATGCTGGCACCGAGTAAAATCCCTCTTTAGGAAAACAGATTGTAGGCCGCACCATTAATTTAGTTGTATGTTCAGTCAATTTCAGACAAGAGCCATTGATATCATTTCTCTACATTAAATTCTTCCTCACCGTAAAGCCAAAGCACAGCTTGGCCTCGAACATGGCCAACAGTTGCTTGTTAATGCCCGTGCTTTTTGGCAGGGCCGGATCTGAGTTAGCTACAAGAGAGTTGATTGATGGATCGCTAATTGTGTCCTTGGTAAGCAGCAGATGCTCCGTCACAGATGCTAGAAACAAATTAGGCTTGCTCATGAAGGAGGGAGTACAATCGGTAACATTTTAGTATAGCTTTAAGAAATTTATAAGCAGAATATGAACCACTAATGTATTCTTTTTTTATTTAGAATCTAGTTGTTAAAAGAGTGTTTTATCTTGTATGAACTCTGAGGAGGCATCAGGACTCCAGTATTAAAATAATAACACATTGAAATTGCCATACCGAGCTCCAGCTGTACCCTAGTTTTTATTTAACACATTTAATAGTCACCCTTTCGTTCTAAATAAAGAATCTGTGTGGTTTTATAAAAAAAAGTGCCATGTGATTCAGTTTTTAATCGTTACCATCCATTTCTCTCCATAATCTGGGTCAAATCACACAAGCAGCAAGAGGCCCAGATGCCCTTCCACCTGGCCACGTCCACCACCTCCTCCTATGGGATCCTAATACTTCTTTTTAGGTCAAGGTAAAATGTGTGATTTTACCAGTATTGAGTGGCATATATAACAGGATTCCTCACATCTGGACTTGCCCGTTCATGGGAAGAGACCAGAAGACCAGGAGGGTCCCTACACCTTCACTCAATCAAACGATGGTTCTGATTGCAATTTTTTGCAGCTTCACTCAAAGTGCAAATGTGGTTTCCAACTAAAGCTTTAATAAATCATCACTACAAGCTTGGTGAAATGATGGTATCACTGTTGGGGCGGCTTCGTCTCAGTGGTAGAGATGCTTGTCTTCCAATTAGAAGGTCTGGGTTATGATCCAAGGTCCCGCTATTCACCCGCGAAAGCGTCCTTGGGCGAGACGCTTGACCCCACTCCATCCCCACTGGCTAGGCCCAGTGGTGTATGAATCGGACTAATCAAAAACTGATGGACTCTATACAGAGAAGCCTCTGCCATCAGTGTGTGAATGGGTGACTGTTACATGTAATGTAAAAGCACCATATCAACCTATCTACCATTGTTTCACATCAAGCAAGAATCAACTTCTCCATCGCTTGGATTGCATTCTTCGTAGGAGAGCATTCCCTCCAACCATGATTTCATCCATAGGATCACAGTAGCTACAGTGGCTTGTCTGAGCCTCCTTAAAAAAACATCACTGTCTCGGTGAGTTTATACCTTCACCAATGAATCATTACAGGCAACGATACCCAAGAACCACCTCTCTCTTTGGACATGATCACTCCAGTTAGGCAGGTGTTTTAAACCCTTACAGAGACCCAAGATCAGTCCTCACAAAGCACAACACACATACAGGCTCTCTCCACCGCCTTCAATTATCAATCAACAGCTCTGATCTGTCTTTATCTGAATGTCCGATACATGCCTGAGAAGTGAAGTTCTCCAGCACAGTATTCTCTAGTGAAACCAGGTCCTCCAAAATATAAGGCTGAGTCATAACCACAATTGAAAGGCAGAGACTTCCTTCTCTCTGAGAGTGGCTGTGGCAAAGCAGCCAACTTATCCTTTAAAAAAAAAAAAAACTCACCAAAGCAATTCCCGAGCTTGAGACTTCTCAGTATTCCCACACCCATTCAAGGGCTTTACTTTAAAATTTCCCAGGTGAGCAGTTAACAAAGAGACACTTTACTCCACAAAGATTGTAATAACACCACTACAAAAGAAACTGAACATCTAAATTATTCAGGCTGCTATTGGTGTCTTTAAATGTTCAAGTAAATTACAGCATTAATCCACCTACAATGTTTCAAATATTTCTGCTAAATGTAGTGGAAACACCTCCATTACTCAGTGTACTTCTTACACTGTTTCTCAAGGGGCTTGCAGCCTTGCCATATATTTCATTCACTTTATATTTAATTGTAACCAAGTAAATCCAACCAATGTTTCACTTTGGAAAGTCAGTCACTAAGAAACTCACAATGTGGGCAACAAAGTTACAAACCAGCAGGCTGTAGTCGTATACAACTGAGACTGAAACACATGCACCCCCAGCCAGCAGGTGGTAGCCAAGGGTTATGTCCCTTTAATTGTAACAGGGGGACAGGCATACAGCTGTTACAGTAAATCCTGTTTCAATAAATGAGTGTGAATTATTGAAGCTGAGGAGAATATTTGAGGCTGGTTATGGCACTGAAAACAAACACATTTGAGCAGAGATCTTTGCAGGAGAAGCTGAGAGTTAAAGAGCTTCGACTTAAAACTAAACAGCGTTCAAATAACAGAGGAAGACACTACTGGTGCATGTACTGATGCTAATTTCTTATTTTGTGCCTATACCTCCTTTCTCAAACATTAGTATAAGATTCAGCATAAATTCAGACAGGTAAGCCCCACCCAGAAAAAGCTAATAAACATGAACAATCCGGGGTGAAAATGGAAAAAAACATTTATCCATCTTAGCAAATACAGATAAATCATTCAATTTGAATAAATTTAGCACACTGGTGTCATTAATGTTAATACGTCTTGTGTCAGCAGATATGATTTTATTAGAGCCCCCTGCTGGTGAAAAATGCAACAGCTACAGCTGTGACACCAGGATAGAAACTTATAAGTAGGAATGTGTTGGCCTCTTGAGTAGAAAAAGCAGCTTTTATCTGTGGTTTTTAAGAGATAAAGTTGTATTTTTGTAACAATAACAGAAAGTTTCCGTTTTTGGCCAAGAGTTTATCAGACTGTTATATTGTGTGTTCCTACTACTTATGGCCGACTAGACAGAAAACAGTACAAAGATTTTAGATGAACAGCTGAACTACGATGGACACACACCAGAAGCTCTTTTTTATGTCTTCAAATCTACAGAGGTTTTGCTTTTTATTTAAAGAAATCCAAAGTTTCTCATCAAGGCAGAACTTTCCACTGTAGTCCAATCTTCATCTTCTTGTCCGATGAGACTGTTTAAAAAGCTATTATGGGGGAAACTGCAGAAGAAAGATGGAGATTCAGTGGTAGTGTAACTATTTCCCAAACTAGAGCAATTTGAGCTAAATTCCATTCTGGTTGAAGGCACATTGTTGTAATTTGTAAGGAGAAAATCACAATGCTCTCCACATACTGCAGAGCGCTGTGTGTTCCCTGATGCAATCCAAATCAGAAACTTAAGTGTTTGGGAAGTTCTTTCATTTTCTTCTGCAAGTGTGCTCCAGAATCCAAAACTGGGATACTTTGAATACAAGTCTCTCTTGGGGTGAAAAACAACTCTATGCAGCTTATACTACAACCCTTTCCACATCTGAAATTCCCACTAAGCTCATCCTGACTCCCCTCTACCCTGAGAATTACAGATAATTATTAATGCGGTCATTAAGAGAAGTCTTGGCAGTAGAAGTTCAACCATCTGTTAACACTCTAAAACTATAAATAAAGTAAAATCTTTAAAACTCAAAGATGCAGACAAATGTGTTTAGAAAAACGTACATTAAAGTCTGAATTTTTAAGTACATCATGAACTGGATTAGATAATGTCTGATAGCTGAGAGGAAGCCTCTCATTGCTCTTCTGTCAGTTTTCTGTGAAGCTGAACAGAAGGCAGAGGATAAGGGAGTGATGGTGGTGGAAGTGCTTTAAAGGCTCTCTCTCTTTCTCTCTCTCTCTGCTATTTCTCTCTGAAGAAGTTCTTTCTACCATCATACAAAGGACTTTTTCAATCACTCTCTCATGACTGAGAGATGCAAAGGCTTTGATGCTGCATACTCTGAGAATGAAAGTTTTACATGAAATAAATGCATTTTTTTTTGTTCTGCTTGGATTGATCCACATTAGTGGGATGTCTTCTTCTCTCCTGATTGGTTTTGTGATGTTTGTATTTGTTTTTGTTGTGTTTGGATGGAGGGCACTACAGCACAGGGTTCAGGGAATCATTTTGTATAATGGAGTTTTTATTTTTAGATTTTAGAGTCTGAATATAAAGAACGGATATTCAAAACTATGAAAAAAATGAATGAAAATGATTAAATCGTAGACTGTGTATACTATGGACAACTTGGTTCCGCCTCCCGCCAGTATACGGATTTGAAGCCAAAAAGCTCTCGGTATTTCCTGAACCAACATTGTTCAGTAGCATTGGACACACTCCACCACTTGCGCAGTAGCATTGTGCGCATTCAGAGGGAGAGTCGCCGAAAGTCGCTGTGATGACGCTCGGTTCAAACAGCGTATCCCCTGGGTGAGCTACACAATCTTCTTACACCCATAGGCTGTATCGAGTGTCAATCGTGGAAAACACGAACCCCCAAATAACTTTTAAAAATGGAGCTGCACAGAAAAAAGAGGACTTGAACATAAATCAGTCTTACAATAACTACATATCAACATCGTAACCAGGGGGGCAGAAAAATTATGTTCTGTGTAATAAATTTCTAAAGTTTGTCCACAGCTCCATAAGCTTTGCTGGCGGAGGCGGGATTTATGACCTATACTGCAGTCCACCATCAGAGGGTGCTGTTCTCGGAGTGGCTTCACCCAGCGAGGAGGCAGACGGTGTCCATTCTATAAACAGTCTATGGATTATATTAATGAAGTTTTTAATACCCAAGGAATATGAGCTTTGAATAAAGATTTATGCGAAATAAAAATCAAACTATATGGATGTTTCCACAATAAATGCATTTTGTTAAAGGTGCACTTTACGCTGCGCTTCAGTTGTACTCGGAAGTCGGGATTTCCAAGCTCCGGGTCGGAAATTTATCTTGAATGCACCGCTGAAGTCGGATTTCCGACTCGGAAAGTCGTACGATCCTCATCAACCCTAACTTGACGACAATGTCATCAATCCAAGATGGCAGCACAGTGCATCAACAGTAAAGAGTAACAGTGAAAGCTCTCGTAATGTATTATTTATTTGCACTTCTGTTTTGTTTTTGTGAAATTAAATAAGTAGTTTATGTTGTACTGCCCAACATCTTACTGTGAACACGATGCTATGGTGTTTGTTGGAGTAAAATACTGTGTTATGCGTTGTTTACAACTGGTATAGCTAACAACAGCTGACAACCACTAACAACAACTGACAACGGCTAACGACAGCTGACAATTGTAAACAATAGCTAACAGTAGGCATCCATCTTGGTTTTCCGATTCGTTTACTGGAATGCCGTCAACTCGGGTGTAATGTCGTTCCCAGCTCTGACGTCCGACTACCGCATAACTACAGTGGGGGATGGTGCTCAAGGGAAATGTAGTCTTTAATCCAGAAAACAGTCACCATCATCAAAAAAGGTCAAATACCTCTTGTTGATCAAACTCCAGACTTAAATTTCTTGAATAATTTCTGATTTTTCTCTTTTCTCTTTTAAAATAAGACATCAGCTCCCGGCAGAGCTCTTTTGACTTTTCTTTTGCCTTTTGTAGACTCAACTTTTGATCAGCTGAAGGAAGAGAAAGTCATATCCATTATTCTTCTTTTACTAACAGTTCTGAACATACAGTACCTCTATTTTAAGGAGTAGCCACAATTACTACAGTATTACAGATCCGGCTGGCTTTTCTCTCCTCCAAGCACTTAGTCACATAGATTGCTGCTTTTAGGATATAAATCCAGCTTTACTAGAGGAAAAACCATGTTCTAGCTATCAAAATCTGGGAAATGGGGCTTTTTGTTGGAAATAAAGAGCAGGAAATGAGATGTAAATAGTGAATGCATGCAATCAGCTTGCGCCATTGCCACCAGTTCTTGAAAATCACAGATGACTCAATAACAGCTTTTATCACTGGCCATTCAGCCGCTGCCTCCTTTCTGATGAAATGTGCTGATTTCCTCTGTATTCTGCAGAGCGTTTGTGTCCTCAGCCTTTGGCCGCTGCGAGCTTTCAGACAGCTGGAGGTGTGTGCAGCTGCTCTGCCCTCTGCCCTTTGACAGCCCAGCTTCGAGTCACCCGTGTCACCAGTTTTCTCCCCGGAGGAAGAATGGGGAATGCTATAACATTTACATGACTATCCTTTTACCGTCTGTGCTTCCAAATTATCTGTTGGCTTATAACACCCGACGGATTCTGAAAAATGGGAACTGCTGCAAAATGAACTTGAAGTCAAGACAGATTTGAGTGTCAGTGGAGTCCTGGTGCAACAGTGATTAGATAACAACTTAGACTTCTTTATGTAAGTCAGTCTGTGGGAAATTTAGGCAAAGAAGGTATTACGATTGATTTCAGAATAACATCCAGGGTTGACCGGTGCAGGTTTCCCCTGGCTAGTTAGACAGAAATATATGGTATAAAATGATGTAGCTACAGTGCAGTTTGTTGAAATTTTGACACTATGACATTGCTTGCTTTTTGTATCCCATCAATTAATTGATTGTATCCCTCTGCTGCCACCTGTTGGTTGGTGGCATATGGGGAGCATGTTTTTTTTCAAGTTAAGTGTTGTGTTATTGTCAGTTCTGCAATATCTTTAACACTTACAGAGGATAGAAATTGTGTTACTTAAGGGCCCACAGTGTTATGGTAACATTGAGTATAAGAAAGTAAACATTCAGTATAAAAATTAAAAGTATAAAAAGAAAAATCAAATGTAAAAATATCAAAGAGACAAGAAACGTGTGCAGAAACTTCATGATGGTGAGCACCATGTTGGACGCCTAATGCAATGTCACTTTTGATCAATCTGGAAACAGCAAAGAGGTGGAAATGAAGTAGGATGTTAGCATCCTTGTAAACAGCTACAAGGTGCCCACCCATCCATCTACTTATCTGTACGACTGATTATTCATATATATTTCTTAGCTTTAAAAAACAAAACTGACACCCAACAAAAAAAAAAAAATCCTCTACAGGGTATTTCAGTAAAGAATGAACCACAAATATAAAAAAAACTGGTTTTAAACTGACTGAAACATCTTAAATTCTGCTTTAACATTTTTACATAGGACCTGATGAGATTTCTGTGGCTTTTGCCACCAGCCTCAAGTGGACACTTTAGGAATTGCAGATTTATGCACTATGACACCGGCTTCGTTTGATAGCATTGTTTGCGGCAGCTTATAAGAAGCTCCTATTTCTTGTGCCGAAGAAGAGCAAATACTGATGTACAACTCAAAAGTCAATGTAGGCCCGAAAAGAGAGAATCTGGCCATCATCACCAACTCTAGCCAAGTCGAGCATATTTAACCGACATTTTACAGCAAATTTAACATTTTACCCTCTAACTGATATCTACCTCGCTCTGTAACATTATTTTTTACACATAATTTGGACCATCTGAAAAAAATCTAATTTCCGTGAAGGTCGTTTTGTTTTTCCTTGTTGGGAGTGGTCAGCAGCACTCAAGCCTTCTCTTCTCTCCAATAAAAGCTGTAAATTCTCTGAACCAACAGGCAAAATTAGTATGCAAGTACAAGTTTTCTGCACATCCACACTGCCCAAAATGAAGCAAAGGTCAACTAAGTATGTCATTATTATATTGCCAACATCAATATTCTTGTTTCCTCAGGCAAAGAAATCTCTGCCTCCTGCTAAGAGAATATTCATTAGGAGAGGCTGCCGATGCCATAAGTCTAATGTGGGCCGTGTTTAAGTTGAGAGTTGGAGTGTGGGCTTGTGCTCTTGCCTGTGCAGTTTTAGAAGTTGAGAAGTGGCTCGGAGCCAGCGTGCCCTTGGAGCTGCCGCACCTCCTCGTCCTGAACGCTCCACGGACCGGAGCCCAGAGACGTCAGCATGGCGAGCTATAGAAGTCCAAATAAATAGGAGCTGCCAATCAGCACAGATTTTCCACCAAACTGTACTATCCACTGCCTACAGAGCTGGACAGCAGAGAGCAAACAGCCATGGTCAGTCTGTGTGTGTAGACGTGTCTCTGTATGTGTGTACTCCCTGAGATAGTTCATTAAAGAAGCAGGATCTGATTTTTGTTTCAGTTTTATTCAAATAAGAGATGTGTTGGAAACTAATCAAATCAAATCAAATTATATTTATATAGCGCTAAATCACAACAGTCATCCCAAGACACAAGTATCCTGATATAATAATGTCAACAGTAATTCTGAGGAAACAGCAGAGTGGTATAAGTCTGAAAGGCTCATTCAAGAGTGCAGATTCAAACACTTTTAAATGCTAGAAGGGCATTTAAGACTTTGCAAACTACCCATAAGAGACAATTAATATGAGGCACGAGCTGACAGCTGTGTCGCCCATCGTGAAACGCTGTGGCAGTGCTTCACAGTAACATAACACACGGGAGGCGTGTGATCAGGTTGTCCTTAGCACACGCTTTTGCTGTTGTTATGGCATCATGACCTTTAAAAACCAAGTACATAGCACTGCCAGGTAATAAGTTTAGTTGCTTTAGCAGCAAATACTGAATTCAGTTGATAAAAATGCATGTAAACAAAAATGTAACCTGGACATGTATTTTTACAGCATTCTTCATGTCAACTTATGGAATTAAATCTTTGCCATCTGATTTTGAATTTGAATTTCTAAAGCTGAATTTTTTTTTTGCATCAAAATCAGACTTTGAATTTCAAAACCATCGGATTTCAAGCACACATTTTTATTTTTGACACAATTTTTTTTCACAATGATGAAATAAATCCAGTGGGAAAAAAAAGGTTTCTCAAAAATATTTGTTTAGTAAAGATTCGACTTAAAAACACAATGTAAAAAAATTCAACATAAAAAAAAAAAAAAAAAAAAATCAGTGTCAAAATATTCAGTGTAAAAAAATTCAGTGTAAAACAGACTGACCCAAAATCTGGGTAACCAAGGATTAGCAATTGATTCCTGGCTCAATCATCCATCGTCAAGTCAATGAGTTAATGCTAGATTGGTCATGTGGCACAGACCCCAGTGGAAGATTGAATCCAATCAATTGCTTTTTTTTTTTTAAACATCTTTTTTAAGTCGAATTTTCTACATGAGTATTTTGAGAAAACTGTTTTTTTTAACACCGAATTTATTCCATCACTGTGAAAAAAATTAGTGTCAGAAATAATTGATTGATGCAAAAAATAATTGATTGATTTTGATGCAAAAAAAATTCAGCTTTAAAAATTCAAATTCAAATTCAGACGGCACAGATTTACTTCCATACACCTTGTCCTTCCTAAAAAGAAAAAAAAAAGATGTTTGTATTTCAACACAAATTATGATTCTACAGTCTACATCTCTTTGTATTTTCCCTAATAATCCGACATTGCACCAAAACCACGACCCTGAAACCGAGGTCCACAGCAGACCAAGAATTCAAACCTCCACTTCTTTTCAAACAAAGCCCCCTTTTCTTTTTATTCCAGGTATTTTTCAGCAAAGAAAAGCGAACAACTCTGCAGGAGGGTTTTGAGAAGTTCCAGGGATGTGTTGATACCCTCAGCTGTTAACTGCAGTTTTTCTGTAGGAGGAAACTACCAACATTTGCTACTTCCATCCATCTTCAAGTCAACAGAAGAACTATTTCATCTAAGAAAACATAGAGTTTGGGTGGAGTATTGTATCACTTTAAGAAAGTATAGGCTTCTGTGTTGCTGAACTTCAGACTGAGAGATTTCAAGGCTGTGGATTTGTTGCATCACACCACATCTGAAGCTTATTTAAGTCTGTAAAAACTTGATAGAACCTGGTGAAGCCAAATGCATCATAGCTGAGCTTATATTGAATGTCAGTGGTGTTTAAAGGGGGTTGAAGGATGGGAGTCTGCTGTGTAAAACAGGCAGACTCAAACGCCGAAGCTTTGCACTGTGAGGGACTCTTTCATTTGTTTGCACGCTAAGTTTTGAAAAAATTAAGATGCGGGATGTTTTGAAATGTCTTGTTTAAATTTGTTCAGTTGGAGTTACGTGTCAAAAACTTCTGGTTAAAGCCACCTTCAGTTTTCCCTCACCCCGTATCTGCGTCAGCTTCGCCTCATCTTCATCAGCCCACCTTCTCATCCTTCCTCTCATCCTCCATCCTTTACTCACTTCCCTCCCGTCTCTTACTACTTATTCTGCGTCTGTCTGGGGGAACAAGTGGGCTCAGGTGAAATATGGCAAATGGATTTGAATATTCATTCAAACATAGGGGGGTACGCAGATTTAGTTGAGAAGTCTGATAGTCTTTTGATTGTGACATTTAAGATCTAATGATTTTGAATTAAATTTGACCTGGTTTGAGGAAAAAGTAAAAAATCCACTCCGGCAATTTGATTGGATGGGCTGGGATTTCTCATTTAGCAGAGATAGCCTTGGACAAGCAGGCTATAAAATATTCAAGACCATCAGAGGTTTTGTCTATTTTTAGACAATTTAAGTTTAAAAATAGTGATATAACCACTTTCTTTGTGTTGAGGTTACAAATAGTTAAACAGTTAAAAAAGAAGTTATAATACCTGTGCTAGTTTGGTAATAATATCATTAAATGGATCTATTTGGCTTCACTCTTATGGGGCGCTCACACTAAGCGCGAGTAAAATCATCTACTCGCTTAATTCGCGCAGATCTAGACGTGTGAATGAATAGTATTCACCTGCTTCATCTGTGTGTCAATGGCAATTTCAACGGTAATCCCTGCCAATTTAACCGGCGGGATCAAGTGATCAACAAAAGTTTTTTACACTTTACCAGGTAATCTGACCTCCTCACTCTCTTGCCTCCAAGTGAGCGCCTCTTTATTCCGGTATCGGTAATTGAAAGAAAAGGTATCATATAATTCGGGGCACCCACACACTGACACCATCAGTTTATCCTCCATTTTAGATACCAGTGAACAACCGTCCGTTTTCATACATCAGCCAACAACCTTTGTGCTGGTTTGTTATTGCGACGCGAATATCTGCTCAAGTTGAGACATATTCAGCTTCCGCCCAATTCGTGTCATTTGCGCCACCAGAGTAGTTGGAGCATCTGATCACATCTTTACATTGACTTAACAGGTAACTCATTTGAGCGAATGATTTTACTTGCGCTTGGTATGAGGAGACAGTCACAAGGTCAGACAGAGATGCTAAAGCTAGTTGCAAAAAGAATGGAGGGGTCTGGCTTTATTTTTCAACCACAGTTAGTGTAACTCTTCACACGTAACTGTCAAAGAGAGGATGTGTTGTCCAGATATTGAACTGTTGGCAGTTGCTCTTTAGCCATATTATGTTCCAAGACAGTTCAGTCATATCACCTTGACATCTCAGTCAAGGCAACGGCTGAAGTTCAGTGAGATGTTCTCCATGATACTGTTGCTAGGATACAGACACAACATGGTGCCAAACTGGTGAAAAAATCTGGCTCTGTGGTTGGACGGAGAGATTCAGATTCAGACTTTTTAATTCTTCTATAAATAGTAGATGAGATTAGATTCCAGACAAACAAATTTCCCTTTGAGAATCAATAAAGTTCTTGTATTGAAGTCATTGATAGTTATTTTTAACTGCATTTGTTACAGGACCAGAATATCCATAAAAGGTCAAGGTGTACGCAGGTAACAGCAAAAGGTATTGTGTAGAAGGAAATGTGTTTAAACCCTCATCACGCTGCTCCATAGCAGACTGCATTCAGAAGCAGCAGCCGACAATGCTGTTGTTTCAGCAGATGATTTCCAATTTCCATCAGCCGGGTATGAAATCACTGCGCTGCCAATATCGCCTGCCAAGTCAGAGCGACAGAGAAACACTAAAGCTAAATCTTCTGTTTGTAATACAAGGAATGAAACAGTCACCTTCCTGTATAGCTTAATCACAGAGATTAATTTAGAAGTCGATACAGAAACATTGGTGGGTAGAGGAGAGGAGGGAGAGCGCAGCGCAGAGGAAAAACAGGCATCAAAGTCAGAAGTCTTTCAAATCATTTCCCATGCAGGAGGAAGGCGATACAAGACTGTGCAAAGTAGAACAGCCTGGATTTGTGCTGTTTAAACTCAGAGGTACAAAGGAGGTAAACAGAAGCTGCCAGTCGGTGTTAAATGTTACACAGTCTTTCTGTGGCATGAGTGGAAGTTCATAATGTATGTAGTAGATGATGAGGACAGGAAACCTCAGCATCGCACCATGACTTTGTGCATTTTGTTAGTAAAGATTTACTCAAGACAAATGAATTGGGTCACAATTAATCGAAGAGGAAATCTGCTTTTTTTTGCTAGTCTGCACATGACAAGAAGAAAAAGGAGAGGCAGAAAGATGGAAAGGAAATTGTCAGTCTCTCTGTGTGCAACCTCCTGTTAAGATTTGGCAGCGGACGATTCGACTCATCCACTCCTATCTGGTTACTGTGACACTCCAGCCCATTAAATAGAATAGATTATTGATTTTGCTCTCTTCGTCTGCTCTGAGATTTTCCATCAGGATCTCTGTGCAGTAAGAGAAACGCTGCAGAAAAGCACAAGTCATTATGTGCACAGCCACACAAGGCTGCATCACATATACAAATGGAGGAGGGGAGCCTGCATGAAAAATCTGGCCGTTGCGGCAATACTCTTCTCAGGAGGCTGAAGGTTGTCATGGTGCTAATGCAGAAAATTAAGTCCAAAACCTCTCATGTGGTGTATCGATTTGAATGAGAGTGGGGTTATTTCAAAATGCTCGTGCTGTTTTTGTATTGATCTCACGTCACACAAAAAGACAAGGTGAGCCCGTTTGATAATCGACAGAGGTGGCGCTGAGAAAAACTCTCTGTTCGTCTTCAGGTTCAGATATTGAGCGGTGACATCACATCCCCAGGTGCCCATCATAGGACTGCTCACTTCTCTGCTCTCCACCAGAGACAGGATTGATTTATTAGGAACTTCATACTGTACTTCAGTTCTTGTCGCTGAAATTTTGATTTTTTGATCTT